TACCTGAAATGCTGTCTCTGTAAGAGCAAAAAAGATTGAGCTTGCCAACTTCCTCCGCAACCGCAGCATTGACGTGGGCATTCTGACCGAGACACACCTTAAGCCCGGCGACAGCTTCTGGTTGTCTGACCAGGTGGGGTGGTGTAGCGATCATTGTCAGGTAGGGATTCAAGTTCTGTACTCTGCCCAACATCAGCACATCTATCATCGAGGCCCTTATCGTGGAGGTTAAATCGCCAACTGGAAATGTCCACTGCATCGCTGTTTACTGCCCTCGTCAGTGTGCCACCAACAACGGATTAGCAAACAAATTCATCGTTGGGGGTGATCTGAATGCTCGCCATGAAGCTTGGCGGAACTACCAGCGGAACCGGAACGGATGCCTAACATTCGACCACTTGCGGACGAACCGACTTTCATCTCTCCGGCGGGCAATCCCTCCACCCTGGCTGTTGAACATCGGACTACCCAAGCCGGAGGCACACAACGATCTCAGCTCCGACCACCAACCGGTGGTGCCTGAAGTCGGTGTCAACGTGGTTCCTGCTAGAAGCTGCCTGCGTAAAGACTACCACCATGTCAACGGGGTGCAATACGGACGAATGGTGGACAGCGACATCGAAGAAAATCCACCGCTCGACACCATAGATGGCATCGACCGGTCGTTGGAAGGACTCCAACAGGCCATATCCGTGGCTGACGAGGCGTGTGTTCGACAAGTTCCTGTGCGGGGTAAGTTTGTTGATATTGATTCACCCAATTACTGATTTGGTTGAGAAATATTCGTAGACGTTAGTTTCAGAGGACTGGAGATCTGGGTAAAAAAGTTAAATGGCCGCTAGGGTGCTTCATTCTGAAAAAAGTGATGAATTTCTGATGGGCCACCCTCCAGTTCGATTCATAGCCCCAAAATATGAACCTGTGCAAAAATTGGTAAAGATTGATGAAGGTTTAGAGGTCGCGCCAATGATTTGAAATTTGTATGGGAATTACTATGGAAGAATTTAAAAAATCGCTTATATCGCTATAACTTTGCTTCTACTTGTCCAAATGTCGAAAAAATTTAGTATGTTATTGCTATGGCAATAAACAAAAAGCCTACAGTTGCTACGCTCAGTTTTGCAGCGTATCAAGAATTATAAAAATGTGAAAAAATGGCAAAATAGGGTAAATTGACAGATGAATATGTACAAGGCAACAACGCCAATTTCATCGCAACAACAACAGGCTTGTTGATCATTGTCATGACAACCACATATTTTTTTTTTCAACGTTTGGACAACTACAACCAAAGTTAGAGCAATGTAAACGAAAATCAATAATTTCCCATACTAATTCACCAAAATCTCCATACAAAATCCAAATCATTGGCGCGACCTCTAAACCTTCATCAATCTTTACCATTTTTTGCACAGGTTCATATTTTGGGGCTATGAATCGAACTGGAGGGTGGCCTATCAAAAATTCATCACTTTTTTCAAAATGAAACACCCTAATGGCCGCCAATCTGAATAGGCATATTTCGTCCAAAATTGACTCACTCAAGTTTCGGGCGTGTTATCCATAATCTGGACAACCGCTCCAGACCATTCTGGAAGGTAGTAGCTAAGGTCTTGAAAACTCGTCCCAAGCACGTTCTACATCTAAGAGACGAAAATGATGACGATCGGCTTTTAATCACCTATCGCATTTGCTTGGCTCGACAATCAAAAGTCCGCTTGAAGTTCAGGTTGCGCAATGCGTACAAAACCTCCTCTTGTGTCGTGCCTCCGGTGGATATGATTACAGTACAACAGATTTGCTCAGCGCTGAAATGCACCAAGAACATGAAGGCTCCCGGGTTTGACGGCATATTCAACCTAATCTTGAAGAGGCTCGACATAAAAGTGCAGTCTCTTTTGACCGCTATCTCCAACAAATACTTGGAGCTGCACTACTTTCCAAGCGTCCGGAAGGTAGCAAAAATTATCCGCAATCCGCAAACTCTGTAAGGATCCAACATTGTCTTCAAGCTACAGACCAATCAGCCTCCTTTCAGTGCTGTGTAAATTGTTTGAGAAACTCATTCTCAATCGTTTGCTCAAGTTTGTCGAGGAAAACAACATTCTCCATCTGGAGCAGTTTGGATTCAGGAAGGAGTACTCCACCAAACACCAGCTTGTACGGGTGATGCATAACATCCGAAGTAACAAAGCTGTATCCAAGTCCACATCCATGGCCTTCCTAGACGTTGAAAATGCATTTGACAATGTCTGGCATGACGGATTTGTGTACAAGCTTTGTAACTTCAAACATACAATTAAATCTGGTTAAAATCACCCGTAACTACCTCAAACAAAGCTCGTTTAAGGTATCGTTGAATGGTTGTCTTTCAGATACGTTTTTCCCTTTGCTTTACAGCATCTACACTTCCGACATTCCTCCCCTTGGAGATAGTTGCGTGTTTTCCTGATCGCAGATGATACCGCAATAGCCGTCAAAAGAAGGATGCCTCGTGAAATAACTAACAAACTTTGACGATACCTTAACACCTTTGCTGAATATGTAAACACCTGGAAAATTAAAATCAATGCCTCTAAAACTCAAACAATTGTGTTGCTCCATCGGCAATCGTCCAGCTCCATCTTGTACTGTAATCATGGATGGCACAAGGGTTGAGTAGTCTGCTGAAGTAATCTATCTCGGGATGTTGTTCGATGAAAAGCTCCTCTTCCGTTCGCATTTAGAAAAAACCGTAGTCAAGTGTATTTCATTAGTTAGCAAACAACCGTCGTACCGTAGTGCCGCGAAAGAAAAACTATAAGGGTCTGTACCTAGGGGCACGAACTAAAGCTTGACGTAGGACCGGTAGTGGACGGAACAAATATGTTGATCATTTAGATCTTAACTCTTTCCATTTTTGAATTGGTGGCCCTGAAAAGGACCGGTTGCTTATCAAATGGTGGCCATACCAGTGTACCCGCATAAACGCGAACGATAAATTGACCTTACCTAAAATGGTTAAAAATTGTTTATAATCCCTGCTAAACTTTAACTGAAATGGTTATGGAACTTTACATGAACGTTTAATGATAAAGTTTCAACCTTATGTATTATGGTTTTTTGGAACTGGACCTTACAAATAATGGGTTGTTAAGAACCATTACCATTCCAAATTCTTGTTTTCTCCATACATTTTCAGAAAGAGAACTATATAAGAACGTTTTTACTTATGATTTGAGAACATTAATGGTAATGGTTATGGTAGTCAGTAAGGTCCATTAATGGTTTTGTATTATCGCTCAACTTTACGTGGAATATATCGTGAATTGGTAATCAGTAAATTACAGGCAACCAATTCGCGATATATTCCACATAAAGTTGATCGATGTTACAAAACCATTCGTGGACCTTACTGACTACCATAACCATTACCATTAAAGTTCTCAAACCATAAGTTAAAAGGTTCTAATATAGTTCTCTTTCCGAAAATGTATGGAGAAAACAAGAATTTGGAATGGTAATGGTTCTTAACGACCCATTATTTGTACGGTCCGCTTCCAAAAAACCATAATACATAAGGTTGAAACTTTATCATTAAACGTTCATGTAAAGTTCCATAACCATTTCAGTTAAAGTTTAGCAGGGATTATAAACTATTTTTAACCAATTTAGGTAAGGTCAATTTATGGTTCGCGTTTATGCGGGTAGCTAGTCATGCTGCCTATTGCGGGAAGCCTTTCCTCCGGTCGATGTGGGTGTTTTCGTTGTCGTCTTCGTATTGGTGCGATGCGTGCTGTTCCACTCATACGTCGTGTCCGACGCTTATCCGTCCGTTGCTCGAAAGCAAATGACGAAGAAAACGATGGCAAGCGATTTTACTATTGATCAGTTCACGAAGATTTGCCGCACTCTTCTCTCACCCGTAAGTTTTGACAGTTTTGGGTGGTTTGTTTTGGCTCCCATTCGTTGCTATCTCTTTTACTCAGAAGCAAAATGATATGGAGCAAAAAGTGAGGTTAGGGACCGTGCATTGATCTATCGCTGCTTTTCTCCTCCCTTCCTTTCATTGGTGAAAAGATGAGCGGTCAACCAAGCATCGAGCTCACTCATGTGAGCATGTGCAATGTGTCGGGTGTTCTATTTGGCCTCTATCGTTGCGTCCGTGTTTGGGATTTTTCGTTACATGTCTGCATTTGATTTTTTTTTAATGTGACCCCCAGTATAGAAATTAAAGACGTAGTCCTACGTCAAAACATTCTGGATCTGAATTTAAAACCTCCAATCCGAAGAAAAGGAAGTACGAAACCGGTTGGAATTTACGAGAGCAGCAACGGATGCTTAAAAAGGTAAGGATGTCTTGCAAGAAAACCAAGACGAACGCTGTGGAACTGTTTCTGATTGTAAATCCTATAGTTTCTCACCAGCAGCAGCCAAATCACGGCACCACCAATTAATTACAAATCGCGATAAAGAATACCTAAACATCGATAACAATATTACCGATAATCGTAAAAAGTGCACATTGAGGCTCTGAACCATTTGGTGGATTATTTTAACTTTTGGTTAAAATTTGACAGATGAAAAGTTATCGATTAACCCTGCTATCCGAGCATGGTTATTTCTGACAGACAAGAAGTTAAATTTTGACAACCGTGGCTCGAAAACCGGTCGATCGACAGCACGGGGATTTTCGAACATAGAAAATAACTTTCGAAATGTCACTTTTAACCACGAGTTAAATTTAACTCGGCAAATGGTTCACAGCCTGAAAGTAAAAACTTGCATATTTTAAGTAGAAAGCAACATTTTTGTCGGTAAACAATACGAATAATATTATACCTATAATTTTAAGTAATCGTATCTTAGAGTGTAAGGGCGAGCAAAAGGGCGAGATTGTCAATTTTCCACGCACCCTCCGAAAGAATCGACGTGCTAAACGCACCCTCATCGCACAAAAAGAAAACAAACAAAAAACAAAAAAGAACAACACTGTCGCTTAGCAACTGAAAGTAAACAAAGCTATCAACGTCTCGCGGAAAATCGTCCGTTGCAAAAAGCTAAATCAATTTTACCATGAAGTTGTGTGTATTTATTTAAAACAAACCATTTTATTGCATAATTCAACTGACTGCCTCCAGCGCCATTGAGATCGTAGAAAATAATGTCATCCGGTTTCAGTTCCATATTCAAAATCGATGGTGTACCGATTCTTCCACCACTGGTAAGTCAGAACTCCCAAAAGACTTGGCCTACATTCTGGAAAGCTTCAGTATTTTCGTTTCCCAACCCAGATGACAGCAGAAGTGCGAGCGGAAGCCGCTCGGTACCGCGAAATGGCAATGGAAATCGAACGGAAGCTTAAAAAAACCCAACATGAATCGGTTTGTCAGTTGGACCTACAACAAGAAGAAGAAGAGCAAACGCCTAATTTGGAAGCAGCTTTACTCACTCGAAGGGAGTCCTTCACCTTGGATGCTCCAAGCCCGGGACTTATCAATCTACCGCACTCCACTGCACCGCTGGAAGAGAAACGAGCAGATTTGTCCAAAAAGCCTACCGTGGCGGATTCCGAGGATGAAACCCCCAGACCCAGATTGATCCGATCCAACTCGTACACTTTGGAGAGCCCAAGTCCGTTGCTGATGAAACACATGCACAACCAAAGTTTGAACATTAAAAACTCAATTTCGATGGGAGAGATTGAAATCGCTGCAACGAAGACTCACGTTAAGAGGCTGGATTTCGGGGGTGGTGACCGAACGCCGATGAGGAAAACTGCCAAGTCCGGTTCCAAAACGAAGTGGGTGTCCACCAAGAAGGTTTCCCCTAAACCAATCACACCAGTTAAGAAACACAAAAGTCCCTACGTATCGGCAGTCAGTAGTAAAAAGAAACCCAAAGCAGCGAAGCAGCAAGTTAAATTGGTCGTACGGAGAAGTTCCTTGGACAATCAACAGCAGAATACCCCAGTGAGCGAATGTCAGCAACGAATTAAGAACATGCAAACCGAGCACGAACGACGCGTGAAGGAACTTCTCAAGCGACAGGAAGAAGAACAGCTACAGTTGCAGGAAAGCTTCCGCCGTCAACAGGAGGAACTCGTAAAAATGCTTCCTGTTCCGTTGCTAGATCAGATACACACTTCCACACCGTTGTTGGTGAGTCCCAACGAATCAACCGTTGAGGAGGAAGACCCTGGTAAGCCATCGTTTAGAACACTGAACATCAGCTCGAAGGAATTCGTCAATAACAACGAGTCCCAGTCCAGCATCGGGCATTTGTCCTCCAGCCAAACGTTGTTCGTTTCCTCCAGCACCAGCGGAACTAGCTTAGATTTTGAAAACTCCGATGAGCTGTATCGAACCTGCGAGAACAATGCCCTCAGCAATCGAGCATCGTCGGGTGATGCCAATGGAAATTTCCAGTTCCACAGCATGCGAAACTATCTGGAAGCCATCGGGCAATCCCTTCAGGATAACGAACTGAAACAGTTGACCCAGGTGGAAACGGCCTTTGAGAAGCCATCGAACGAACGGGATCGTCTTCGGTACCACGCTGCAAGCCTGATCAATGCCCATGTTCGTGGTTACCTCACACGACGGCTCTTCCAAACCGACCATGTCCAGAAGATGATCCAGGTGATTCGGGACACGTTGCTCTTCATCCTGGACCTTCATCACGAAAAAACGGTGGCACGGCAGCAGATCCGAAGTCCCGCGGATGTTCAGCTCAAGCGAACCCTTCTCCAGCAGCTGACGTCCGCTTGCTATCAGTTGCATGAGGTGTTCTTCGAAATCAGCATCCCGCAGCGAATGGAAATCATACGACGCGATCGGGAAACGCTGCGGCGTCGGCTGGAAAATCGACCCCGAACGGCAAGTTCGGCTGGGTCGACCAAATCGTCGACCAGCGCCAGAAGACAGCTAAGCCTGCGGAAGCTGCAAATGTGTTCTTTGTAAGTGTTGCGCCGTTAATTTATTCATAGAGTCATGGGGTCTGCATCCTAAAACATCACCAATTAGATGGCTTTAACAAAATTCGCTTCCTACTAACCACCTTCTCATTTTCATGCACTCTTTCCGCTTCTCATCGCTTCATCAACTGGCTTTCCACAACCTTCGCAAACATTCAAACCACAAGATATTCAGTAAATATTGAAGGTGAACCCGTCGCTGACGGAAACGCAGACGATCAAAATGTCAACGCCAGTGAGTCTCCGATCAACGCTGATCACATCCCAAAACCAAAGCCCCCTGCTACTGCTGCTGCCAGCGCTCCACCCAGTAGAAGCTCTCTAAGATCGACATCATCCCGCACATCCTCACCGAGCCTTTCGGCCACGGTGGTCTCCCGGCTGGTGCATCAGGTGAAGAAAGCCGTCGTCTCGCCCAACCGAATACACTGCCAACAACAACAGACCAAGGCGATGGATCTCCGCCCCAAGACTTCGGATGCTGCCTTGGTCGGTGCTCCATATCGCCGAACTTCATGGGAACAAAAATACTTATAAGAAGCCTTTTCTAGATTAGTGTAAAAATGATAGTTTATTTTATACAAATTTCAATTCGACATGTACAATGATACAGATTCAGTGCCTCATAAATTCATACTTCAACAGTTGCTTTTGCTAATTCATAAGATTCATGCTCTAACCTAGGTTTTGAAGATACCCTAAATCCTACTTCTTCTGAGTATTTTTACTATTTTTGTACGGATTCATATTCTTCAACTGCTCGGGATCGTAGCGGACCCAAATCGGCGGCATGGCGGGCGTCATCTCGATGATGGCCGGATCAGGGATCAGGGACTGCGACAAACGTTGATCAGCGACTTTGTTGTTGATAGGCACTCGGGAAACCAAATGCCGCGGGACGAAATTCTTCTCCTTGAAGTCGAAATAGTGTTCCCTTTTGTAGTTTTCGACCGTCTTCAGCAATGGCAGAACCGGTCTTCCCTTTGCCTTGGCATCCGAGATGAGTTCGTCAGCGTACTTCAAGAAGTGTGTGTTCTCTTTCTCGGCACTGTTTCGCATGTACTGCAGCTCGGCACGGGTGTCCGCTTCCCTCTTCTCGCGCTCTTCCTGTTCGTCCGCTTGGTCAAGCAGCAGTTTGCGCTGTGCATGGGTCTTGGACGTTTTGTCCGTAACCTTACGACGATCGAAACCAAAGGTGACGTCCACGTTCTTCAGCCGAGCAGCCATCTCTTTCCGTTCCAATAGAGCCTGCTCTTGTTCCTTCTTCTTCTGCCATGCTATTTCCTCCAGGTGCGCTTTGATGCGAGCAGCTTTGTCTTGTTTCTTCTTCTCCAAAGCTTCACGCTCTTTCTCGTCTGCCTTGGAATCTTGTTCCAGTAGCGCCCTGTTCCGATTATATTCCTCCTCCTCTAGAATTTGCTTCTGCCGTTCGACAGAATCCTGCAGCAGATGCGTATTGTCACGGAACCTGTGCTTGTTTACGTGTATTTCCTTCCTCTTCTGTGCAATAGCCCTTTGGCCGTCATTGTAGATTTCGTTCAAAGTTTTCTCGATGCTCGCTTCCCGCTTCAGCCGCTCCTCCCGTTCCTGAGCCATCTTCATCGCCTCCAGTGCATGCTTCCTTCTCATTTCTTTGTTCCGTTCCAGCATCCTCTTCTCCAGTTCCATCTGCTGGCGGGTGTCATCCGTCAGCGCTTGATGTTGCTTCTGCTCCTGTGCGATCATAAAGTTTCGCACCTGTAGCTGCCCGTCGTGATCGCGTTCGATCTTCTCTTTCAGTTCCTTCTTGTAGCAATCGAAACGCTTGCGATCGTCAATGTGGCGCTCGGCTTGTGACTTTATCCAGCGATTGGCTTGCGCGTTGTCCTGCTGATCCAGCTGTCTGCGGCGGGCTTCCTGCAGAGCCTCCTGTTCGGATCGGAACTTGCGCTGATATTCGCGGGCCTTCAGAACCTCGCAAAATTTAGCCGCACTCTCGAGCACGCGTGGTCCTTCCTTTTCCTTCTGGATCATTTCCTCCGCTTTCTCGATGAGCTCCTTCCGTTTGACCTCGTCGGCGACTTTCAGCTCGCGGTAATGCTTCTCATCTGTGGAACCGAACGAAACAATGTGTATAGTGTTAGTTTATTGTGCATTTCCACAAATCTAAAAATATTTTAAGGGAAATGCCGGTTTCAGCAATCGCTTTACCTATTATCGTCAGTCCTAGAGCACTCAAATTAGACACAGTGTATCAACATGCCAAAATAGAGCCCTCAATGACGTTGTTTACCCCCTGACGATGATAGAATAAGGTATTGCCGAAGCCGTCATTTACCCTACTTCGAGTATGAGAGAGTGATTGCAATTAGATCAAAAGTGCTTGAGAAAAATGCAAGTACTTTCACGGATTACCTGTTTGATCACAGACAAGCAGACATAACACTCTCAAAATGTTCATCGATATCGCGTGTAACAGTTAATTCAAATGTTTCTTAGTTGGTCGTACCGTCACTTGTGGCAGGTATAATCGATTTCCTTGCGTTTGACAGCATGACATCCGGATTTAGGCAAACCAAACTGAGCTGATTCTGGAAGTTAGTTGATGTGTTTCTGTCGATTGTTGAAGATGGTAAGATGAAGGATGATTCGCGAACCCCAGTAGCATTGAATTCCACATTTCGTTGGATTATTGCTGGTCAAGTCGGTGCTGCAGCCAATGTCATGTGTCATTCCACAGTCAGTTCGTCTACCGAAATGAACATCGACAAAACACTTCCACAGTTCTGGGAAGTTGAGGAGATGAACAAACCGAAGCCGCTAACACTGGATGAACCGAAAGGAGTGGATATGTCTAGATAGAGCTGTAATTAGGGCGTAACAGCTTTTGTAAACAATGACTTCTCTCGATGATTTCTCGGAAGCCATGGCTCTCCCTGGCAAATTGCCATCACCATCGAGTAGAGGAAGACTTCTCCTACTCGATGGATATGTTGGTTTGTGTAGGCGTGCCTTGAATTCCGAGAAATCAACGAGAAAGGTCTTGTATCAAAGCTACTTACAAACGTGAAGAATCTGGTCGATTCGTGGTGAGCCTTCCCTTCAAAGAAACTGAAGCAAAGTTGGGGGAGTCGCTGCCAGCCCTTCGACTGCAGGCAATGCAGCGAAAATTTGAAAGCGATCCTGTTTTCAAGAAGGTCGTGTACGTTGAATTCATGGCCGTCTACTTGAAGCTTGACCACATGGAATGGATTCCTGATAAGGAGATCAACATACCAACATGCCAATAGTTGTAACCCGCTTCAGAACATACCCCGTGGCATTTAAGGTTGATGCGAAAAAAATGTACCGGCAGATCAAGTTGCGCAAGGAAGATATCGATTACCAACATCAAAAGCAAGTTTTCATTACGTCGAAAGCAACAAAGTCGAGCTATCAGTTTCAATTGATGCTCCTGCTATTACACTACACTCAAAATAATCGACACGTCAATGCTACGTGAAATCATCCGTAGATTTTTTTCCATAACACTTTTCTAAGAGCTATCTTCACATAAAAGAACTCATTTCAATACGCTTCATCGTCATTGTTTTACTACGTAGAAGTTACGTGATTCTTAGGATGGATTTCATGGCGATTTCCAATGCTTTTGTTTTGAATTCGTTTCAAATAGAATATATATTTGCTCAACACTACAATTATAAAAAAAAAAACACTATTTTATTCGTTTTTTTTTGTCACACCTTAAAAATATATTATAATAAAATCCGATCGGGAACACGAACTTCAAGACAATATCATATGGTAATCATACCAAAGATGAATACTAAGATCCCTGCGCTTTGGTCAGAGAGCGTATAGGGCGTCGTTGTGCCAATTTGGTCGTGGCACATTTCGAGTATGAGAGAGTGATTGCAGTTTGCTCAAAAGTGCCTGAGTAAAATGCAAGTATTTTCGATGATTACCCGTAGTTGTTACAGTGAAGATATACACACATATTCTCGTTTATGTCTGAACGTGTTTGCCATACAGAAACATTTTTATTTGATTTTGTGTGGTGGATGGGTTTCGGGCGTGGACAGGCATATGGGCGATAATATTAAGTTTACGTTAGGATAACGTTGAAACATTGAGAAATGTATCGCTTCAGTTTAAGCAACCGGTGAACACTCGTGTTTATTTCAGTTACCATGGAGACGTAATTTGTGATTAGCCCCGGTCCCTTTCAAATTGTATCATTATTTATGAACGGCCTTATATTTGAAATGACATTTCACATTCATCTAGTGATGTCCGATTTTCATTCGAATAATCGTTTAATCGATTAACGATCCGAAAAGTAAACTATTTATAATCGGTTAGATCATGCCGATATAAGCATTAACATCTCCACAGGATCATCACCGATCGTTTCAAACATGTGCTGCACTCTCATTGGTGGAAAAATGGCAGCACAGCGAACAAAAAATAATGGATTGATTGTTAATCGAGTAATTAAAAAATAGGACATCTCTGATTTTGGTGTGATTGTTTGATAAAAATGAGCGTAAAATTTCATCTCTTCCGAGGGGGCAGCAAAACCACAAAATTACCTTGAATACGGGGGGTTCTCATTGGATGAAAGGGACCGTGCAAAAAGACACTAAAATAGAAAGTTTTTCTTCCGACAGTTTCATCTTAGTATTCATCTTTGGTTTCATCTTAGTATTCATCTTTGGTTGGACTCTGTGATGATAAGTATCACATAACAGGTAAAGTAGGCAGCACCATCTTTATCGAAATGTAAGTATTATTGACAATAATCATAACTAGATTATATACAATACAATAATACAATAAGTATTATTGATAATCATTATAACTAAATGAAACATAAATGCATATTCATCAGCACTCATTCTCTACCAATTCTGTTTTTCAATACCTTTTTCTCTCCTTCTTTTATCCTTCATCTATGCATCTACGCTTCTATGTTAAGGATCACCTAAACCCTCATTTAATATTCGGCTGATTTCAATCGACTCGCATAAGTCATTATCTAAGAGCCATCTCATCTTTATCTATCTGATTGCTGCATGGAAGGTGTATAATTGGTCACCAAAATTACACTGGCGACCAGGCTCAATGCCCCCTCCAGCATGACACAATAACAATAACAATAACATACCAAAGATGAATACTAATACCCCAGACAGACTATGGCTTATATCATGTAATATAGGCTGTCTTGCAATGAGCACTCATACATCTAGTTTTCACTGGAAATCCTATATATGAGTGCTCATTGCAAGACAGCCTATATTACATGATATAAGCCATAGTCTGTCCAGGGTATAAGATGAAACTGTCGGAAGAAAAACTTTCTATTTTAGTGTCTTCTTTCACGGTCCCTTTCATCCAATGAGAACCCCCCGTATTAAAGGTAATTTTGTGGTTTTGCTGCCCCCTCGGAAGCATTGGTGCTCAGTACGGAAAACCAGATCGACGAAAAACAAATCAAAGGAAAAAAAAAGAAATGAGATTAACAGAACTTTATCTGTACAAGTTCAGAAAAAGTTTCATATTTTTGAATTTCCTGCAGAGTTTTAAACTTTTTTCGAACAGTCCGCAATTCAAAAACCCAGTAAAACATTACTGACTGGATTAATGTGTATATGTTATGTGCAGCTTATCTGCTGTAATATTCAACCACTTTTTTTTTACTGTTTCCCTAATAAAAAACTACCATACATGAACGAAAACCCAAATAATAAAACTATTCAACAAATGGTTTGGATGATACCCCGAACACGTCGTTAAGCAAAGTAACCATAACAATTTTATTAGGGTTCCCGAATAGAAATTGTAATGTAGGAAACATCAGCAGACATCTTCAATACATTAAATTTTAACGTGTATTGCTGTAATCTTAATGTATTCAGACGTCAGTGTGACGTCCAAGTACATAAAAATACATTAGCCTCAAACGTTACATCAGAATCAAACGTCTTGACGATGTAAAATTTGACATCAGAATACATCCAATGACAACAGAACCTAACGTTACATTAGAATCAAACTTCATCACGATGTAATTTGTTGCACGCATAAAACATCAGAATACATCCAATGACAACAGAACCTAACGTTACATTAGAATCAAACATCATCACGATGTAATTTGTTGCACGCATAAAACATCAGAATACATCCAATGACAACAGAACCTAACGTTACATTAGAATCAAACATCATCACGATGTAATTTGTTGCACGCATAAAACATCAGAATACATCCAATGACAACAGAACCTAACGTTACATTAGAATCAAACTTCATCACGATGTAATTTGTTGCACGCATAAAACATCAGAATACATCCAATGACAACAGAACCTAACGTTACATTAGAATCAAACATCATCACGATGTAATTTGTTGCACGCATAAAACATCAGAATACATCCAATGACAACAGAACCAAACGTTACATTAGAATCAAAGTTCATAACGATGTAAATTGTTGTCCCTCGGTCTCTCGCCGCATGCAAAGTTTGTTTTTCCTGAGTCAGCACTACACGGCGAATGAGAACGACCCAAATTTGAGGTTAGTTCACTCATAAATCGCAAAAAGTGCAGGAACTCAGTTTTGAATTAATTTCCCTCATGTTCCGAATATGAGAAAAGCAAAGATTGGATTCTCTGGATTCTCGTAAATTTTCCTTATTTTAGGGCAGATTTTTGAGGTTTTCCACAGGAAAACATGCGGCAAATTTACTCATCCTGCACTTTTTTCGATATTGAGTACACTGTACTCAAATTTGCGTTGATCTCATTGGCCGTGTACAGTTTTTTTTTTCGCAGTGGGAAAGAAGTTTTGGCATGCCCTGTGGGCAATGTTTATTTGTATGTAAAACAATGCCCTGGTGACGTTACAGTGCAAGAGTTAATTAGTGTTTTAATTGATTATTATCGTTTCAATTGAAAACCGATTTTACTCTTGTTCTGTACGTTAAACATAACGTCGGCTATAGTGTGCTGTACACGCTAACTTGAAAGTACCTATTAATGGTTGAAAAAGACCCATTTTGAAGAAAAGTGGCTTAACTCATTAAATGAGTAAATTTTTTACCCATTAATGAGTATCTGTTACCCATTAATGAGTAATTGTTAATCATTAATGGGTAACAGATACTCATTAATGGGTAAAATTGTTTAATCATCAATGAGTTAAACCACTTTTCTTCAAAATGGGTCTTTTTTTACTCATTAATGAGTACTTTCAAGTTAGCGTGTATACCGCATCCGTGTATACGAATACACATACTACCCCTGTTGGGGAGGGGGCTCCTCCGTTTTTGACAACATTAGAAGGAGAAAAGGAGACAAACTAGTCAAAAGTAGGTAAAAGTGAACTGGCCGTTGGGTACTTTTTTCTTACCGTGTACGAATACAGCACCCCACACGAATAAAGCCCTACAGTAAAAGTATGGACGACTGACACCACAAAACTGAAAAAAGCTGTTCCAATCGAGCAAAGCGGTGCATTTTGACGGTTCGATTGGAACAACTTTTGACAGACGTCCATACTTTTACTGTAGGGCTTTACACACGAATTGCCGGCGACAAAGTGACGTCATTTGGACATTGCGACATGGGCGACTTAAAGACTGACGTTTTTAAATTGGTATATTTTTTTTTGTCGTGCGCTCAGCCATCTTGTCTGGTTTGTTTATAAACAAACTAGACAAGATGGCTGAGTGCACGGAGCGCACCGCAAATTCCTTCACCCGAGCCGCGAAGGAAAGTAGCAACTTTAACAGTAAGTATTCAAATATTTGTTATATTTAGTGTTATTATTTGTAATTTCTCATCCGGATTTCTCAAGCGGGTCAATTTTGATGTAATTATTTTCAAAAATTGATCCGGTTGAGATAAGCATCCTTGCTGATGCAACGCATCAACAAGGATGTTTAACTCATCAGGATTCCTCCAGCGGATCAATTTTGAAAAATAATGACAAATTCTAACAAACATCCAAAATTTTGATTAATTTGTATTTTTTTTTTCAGCCGGCTGCTTCCAATAATTCCGGATTGGGACGTGTACGGAAATTGAATAGAGGTAGGTGTTAAACAGTTTTTATTAAGTGTAATTATTTTTAAAAATTGATCCGCTGGAGGAATCTGACTGAGTTAAGCATCCTTACTGATGCAACGCATCAAAAAGGATGTTTAACTCATCCGGATTCCTCCAGCGGATCAATTTTGATGTAACTTTTTTCCAAAAATTGATCCGCTGGAGGAATCCGACGGATTTCATTGACTGATGCAAAGCATCAACAAGGATGATTAACTCATCCGGATTCCTCCAACGGATCAATTTTGATGTTACTATTTTCCAAAATTGATCCGCTGGAGGAATCCGGCTGAGTTAAGCATCCTTGCTGATGCAACGCATCAACAAGGATGTTTAACTCATCCGGATTCCTCCAGCGGATCAATTTTGAAAAATAATTACAAATTCTAACAAACAGATCCAAAATTTTGATTATTTTGTAATTGTTTTTTTTTTTTTCAGCCGCCTGCTTCCAATAATTCCGGAGGTGTTCGGGAATAGAGGTAAGTATTGAACAATTTGTTATTAAGTGTAATTATTTTTTTTTAAATTGATCCGCTGGAGGAATCTGGCTGAGTTAAGCATCCTTATTGTAAGGATGTTTAACTCATCCGGATTCCTCCAGCGGATCAATTTTGATGTATTTTTTTTTTCCAAAAATTGATCCGCTGGAGGAATCCGGCGGATTTAATTGACTGATGCAAAGCATCAACAAGGATGATTAACTCATCCGGATTCCTCCAACGGATCAATTTTGATGTAACTATTTTCCAAAATTGATCCGCAGGAGGAATCCGGCTGAGTTAAGCATCCTTACTGATGTAACGCATTCCGATACCGGATCCCGATGTTTATGTTTAAGTTAAAGTTTTATTATAGTTAAGTAAAATTTAAAGTTAAGTTAAATTAAGTATGTAACAACTAAATTTAAGTTAAAATTATGTTAAAGTAAAAGTTATGTTGATGGTAAGATAAACTTATGTTAAAGTAAAAGTTAAAATTTATTTAAAGTTACGTTAAAGGTAAGTTAGAGTTAAGTTAAGGTTACGTTTAAGTTAAGTTAAAGTTATGTTTAAGTTAAGATAAAGTAAAGTTAAAGTTATGTGTAAGATAAAGTTAAGTTCAAGTTATGTTAAAGTTAAAGTTAAGTTATAATTAAGTTTAACTTATGTTAAGGTAGAGTTAAAGTTAATTTAAAGTTTTGTGAAATTTATGTTAAAGTAAGTTTAAAGTTAAGTTAAAGTTATGTAAGAGAAAAAGTTATGTTATAGTTATTTTAAAGGAAAGATAGTTTTGTTAAACTTTAGTTAAAGTTATCCCTAATAAACGGATACCATACACTAACGATGTCATAGATGGTACGACCATACCGCATAAAGTTGGGATGATATCCCGAATTGGTGGTTAGGCGCTTCTTATGGTTATTGTTTATGCGGGATGTTAAAGTTAATTTAAAGGTAATTTAAAGGTAAGTGAAAGTTTTGTTAGAGGTAAGTTAAAGTTATGTTAAAGGTAAGTTAAAGCTAAGTTAAAGTTATGTTAAACTTAAGTTAAATTTGTGTTATACGTAAGTTAATGCTATCTTAAAGTTAAAGTTATGCTAAAAATAAATTAAATTTATGTTAAATTTGGTAAAATTTAGGTTTTGCTAAAATTATGTTCAAGTAAAGTTAACGTTAAGTTTAAGTTAATTTAAAGTTAAAGTAAAGTTTAAGTTATTTTTAAGTTAAAGTTAAGTCTAGATTATTTTAGAGTTAAAGTTAAGTTTAAGTTATTTTAAAGTTTAAGTTAAGTTAAAGTTATGCTGAAGGTAAGTTAAAGTTAAGTTGAAGTTATGTTAAAGGTATGTTAAAGTAATTTTAAAGTTAAAGTTATGTTAAAATTAAGTTAAAGTTGTGTTATAGGTAAGTTAAAGCTATCTTAAAATTAAAGTTATGCTAAAAAGAAATTAAATTTATGTTAGATTTGGTAAAATTTAGGTTAAAGTTTTGTTAAAGTTAGGTTCAAGTAAAGTTTAGGTTAAGTTAAAGTTATTTTAAAGTTAAAGTTAAGTTTTAGTTATTTTAAATTTAAAGTTAAGTTCAAGTTATTTTATAGTAAAGTTAAGTTAAATTAATGTTAAAGATAAGTTAAAGTTACGTTAAAGTTGTGTCAAAGTTAAGTTAAAGTAATTTTAAAGTTAAAGTTATGTTAGAGCTTAGTTAATGTTATGGTAATCTTTATTTAAAGTTATGTTATAGGTAAGGTAAAGTTAAGCAAAAAATAAATTAAATTTATGTTATATTTGATTAAATTTAAGTTAAAATTTTGCTAATATTATGTTAAAGTAAAGTTAAAGTTAAGTTTAAGTTATTGTTAAGTTAAAGTTATTTTAGCTTAGCTTAGCTTAGCTTAGTCTGACTGCACGTATCGATAGTTGCACTCCGTGATTGATCTAAACCAGTGAAATTGTACAAAGATTGTTAAGTTAAAGTTATTTTAAAGTTAAAGTTAAGTTTAAGCTATTTTAAAGTTAATTTTTTGTTAAAGTTAAGTTTAAGTTATTTTAAAGTTAAAGTTATGTTAAACTAAAGTTAAAGTTCTGTGATAGGTAAGTTAAAGTTAAGTTGAAGTTAAATTAACGTTAAGTTAAAGTTACGTTAAAGTTAAGTTAACGTTATGTTATGTTATGTTAAGTATAAGTTAACTTAAAGTTAAGTTTAAGTTAAAGTTAAAGTTAAAATAATTTTGAAGTTAACGTAATGTTCAAGGTAAAGTTAGGTGAAAGCTAAGTTAAAATTAAGTTAAAGTTATGTCAAAATTAAATTAGAGTTATGTTTATGCTTAAGTTAAGTTAAAGTTCAGTTAATGTTAGGATAAAGATATGTTGAATTTAAGTTAAAATTACGTAAAGGTTATGTTAAAGTTTAATTAAAGTTAAGTTAGAGATATGTTAAGTTTATGTTAGGTTAAGTTCAAGTTATGTTAATGTTAAATTTATTTTAAATTTAAGATTAAATTTAAAGTTAAGTTATAGTTCAGTTAATGTTAGGTTAAAGTTATGTTAAATTTAAGTCAAAATTAATTTAAGGTATTGTTAAACTTTAGTTCAAGTTAAGTTAAAGTTATGTTAATGATAAGTTAAAGTTATTATAAAGTTTAAGTTAAGTTAAAGATCTGTTTAGTTCATGTTAGGTTATAGTTAAGTTCAAGTTATGTTAATGGTAAACTTATTTTAAATTTAAGATAAAATTTAAAGTTAATTAAAGTTAAGTTAATGTTAGGTTAAAGTTCTGTTAAATTTAAGTTAAAATTAATTTAAGGTTATGTTAAAGTTTAGTTCAAGTTCAGTTAAAGTTATGTTAAAGTTAAGTTAAAGTTATTATAAAGTTAAAGTCAAGTTAAAGATGTGTTAAGTTAATATTACATTAAAGTTAAATTAAAGTTATGTTAAATTTAAGTTAAAATTTAGTTAACAACAACGTTTAAGTTAAGTTAAAATTTGGTTAAAGTTATGTTAAAGTTAAAAATAAGTTAAAGTTTGTTAAAGTTAAGTTAAAGTAAAGTTAAAATTACGTTAGAGTGAAGTTAAAATTAAAATGATTTTAAAATTAAAGTAATGTTCAAGGTTAAGCTATGCGAAAGCTAAGTTAAAATTAAGTTAAAGTTATGTCAAAATTATGTGAGAGTTATATTAATGCTAAAGTTAATTTAAAGTTAAGTTAATGTTAGGTTAAAGTTATGTTAAAGTTAAGTTAAAATTGAATTAATGTTATGTTAAAGTTAAGTAAAAAAAGGTTAAGTTTAGTTAAAGAGAAGTTAAAGTTAAGTTAAAGATGAGTTAAAGTTAAGGTTAAGTTATGATAAAGTTAAATTAAAGTTAAGTTAAGATTAAATTAAAGATAAGTTAAAGTTAAGTTAACGCTAAGTTAAAGTTAAGTTAAAGTTAATGCTAAGTTAAGTCAACAATCAATACGAAACTAACGATTTTAAATTGGCTCACCACTTTAGTAGCCTATTGGTCCCAAGCAAACGATTAACGTACCCTATTCTAGTCGAAATTCTAGTACTACGCAATGTTTGTTTTGATTCGCTATGAAAGTTTGACAGATAAAATGAGGGGTTATTGGTTTTTCCTATGTTTCGAGGGGTGATTCGACAAGCTTGGGACCGAAGATAGTACCAGAGGTGAGCCAAAAAGTTGAGCACGTTTCTTCGGGACCTACTTGTCTTAGAGTTATCTCTATGGTTAAGTTAAGTTAACGTTAACGTTATCTTAAAGTTATGTTACAGATAAGTTAAAATTACGTTAGAGTGAAGTTAAAATTAAAATGATTTTAAAATTAAAGTAATGTTCAAGGTTAAGCTATGCGAAAGCTAAGTTAAAATTAAGTTAAAGTTATGTCAAAATTATGTGAGAGTTATATTAATGCTAAAGTTAATTTAAAGTTAAGTTAATGTTAGGTTAAAGTTATGTTAAAGTTATGTTAAAGTTATGTTAAAGTTATGTTAAAGTTAAGTTGAAATTAAATTAATGTTATGTTAAAGTTAAGTAAAAAAAGGTTAAGTTTAGTTAAAGAGAAGTTAAAGTTAAGTTAAAGATGAGTTAAAGTTAAGGTTAAGTTATGATAAAGTTAAATTAAAGTTAAGTTAAAATTAAGTTAAAGATAAGTTAAAGTTAAGTTAACGCTAAGTTAAAGTTAATGCTAAGTTAAGATAAGTTAACGTTAACGTTATCTTAAAGTTATGTTACAGATAAGTTAAAGTTATGTTATGTTATGCTCAAGTTAACCCGAAAAAAAATAACAACAAAAATACATTAAAAAACAATGTAACAATAAGACGAAAATTATTGTTTTAACAATGATTTATATTGTTACGTCTACAATAAATTTACCTTGATTTATGTTGTACAAAACAGTAAATTTCATGGTAAATGGAAAATTTACAATAAAAAAGGGGGGTTGTTAAGTATCTTAACAATGAAATTTTCGTGATTTTCCCATATAATTTTTTTTTTTCAATAACATAATATATTATTGTTATTTTACTGTTGGTTGGCGAATTTATTGATTAAAAAAATAACAGTGTACTTTAGAGTGTATGTGTTGGCTTGACAGATCTACTTTATCGATTTTAAAAATAAATCGAAAAAATAAAACATTGCCCCGGGAAGGGAAGGGGGTGGCATGTCTGTTATGGGTGGTCCTTTTTTTTACTGGTTATGGATCGAGATTCGATCCGGAACTTGTGAGAAATACAGGCCAACTCCCCTGCGCTCGATATCCCTAGGTCACGTCTCCTTGGGGGTTGAGCGCCGTTGATAAGTTAATGCATTCGACTGGAGAGAATCGCCCATGAAATATGCTTCCACCTCGAGGGGGGCGACACATCTAAATCTCAATTCTAGATGATCAAAAAATCTTATACTAGCGAATCAATCTTCGAAAAATCATCTTTCATTTTTCCCATCTACTTGCATCGTGCTTCATCTTTTTGCAGGAAATCTTCAAAATCGACATAAATCTTCCTTCTATCTACTCAGCGTGCGTGCAGCTAGCCACAGTAAAACACAATCTT